ACAAGCGTGTTCACTGCAATACTGTTTGTAATATCCCCAAACTAGGAACAATCTAAATGTCCATCACAGAAAAGTGGTTAAGTACATGATGGTACATTATTTGGAGAGTTAAAAGAGTAAAGTCCACAAGCACACATACCTGTCCAATGTGTACAAGATCAATACAATGTAAAATGTCTAACCTTTTTCTGCCAAGGCCATTTGGATATTTATAACATCATTCGCAGGCCATACAAAATTATCAACTTAAAAATGAGCCTGCTATATTTGGTCAAACATTTAATTAACTCAGCCCTAATGTCTTGGCAGGGCCAGAGCAAATGATTTCGCGGGCCTCATACGGCCCACGGGCCGGACGATCCCCACCCCTGGTGTAAAAGGATACCTAGCAAGCTCTTTATACAGAAGTTCATCCTAGGTGAGGGAGTGGGGAGGAGGAAGGGAGGACTTCAGCATTTAGTGTACATGCTTTTAGATTATTTGATTTTTTACAATCCTATTTATCAGGTCATTGAAAAAGAACAAAGGGACAGACAAAATTTTGGTGGGCTCAAGCACAGCAATATGGGACTTGGGGATGAGATGGAAGAGACCAGGTTAGGCTAATGGGCACCAGCAGGGCTTATAATAATTCAGAACAGACTGATCAAGATGTCTCTCCACAACTAGGAAAGTCTGCATTCCTGAGCACAAACCGCTTTAAAATGCATGCCTTGATTTGACAGCGGGTTAGGAGGTATCTTTATATGGCATCACCTCGCTCGCTGCGTATGCGCATATTAGGAAAGAGTAATAATCTCACTATTTCTCTAAGATGAGAACAGTCTACTCCTTTGAGTTTCATTTAAAATAAAATGAAATAACAGCTCTTGGGTTAAATTATCAGCATATGATCATCTGCAATATCCAGGAATAAAGGAAATTGATGTTTTCCATTCAAAAAGAGAAATAAATAAAAAAAAACCTCAGGCAGAGGCCGATGACATTGGGTACCAATGACAATCACTGCATGCACACACATATGTGTACTTACACACATGCATGTATACACACCTGCAGCTGTGTATCCCAGAGTAACAATCTCCCGAGCACTGTCTCCAGAGCATGAGAACAGCCTTTCCCACCGCCCCTCCCACCTGCGGCTCGTAGGCCGCCAGCACTCAATGGCTCGCCCAGACATCCATCTTCCTCAGCTTCCCTTTCAACTAGTGATCGTTGCAAAACTACGTATTTTCCCCAGAGTATTTTTTACTTTCAATTGTGTTGAAATGTTCTCAGTATTCAATATACTTCTTCGTAGAAGATAGCTTTTATCACTTTGCAGCTTCAGGAAAAAATAGTTCCCCAAAGTATTTAACTTGCTCCTCGAGATAACCTTTGTCTTATCCTTTCCTACCTTCAATTTCTAGCACAGTGACTGCGCATCACAGATGCTCGATAAATGACCGTTCATAGGTTTATCATCCTCCAGCCGAAGTCCTCTCCTCCCCAACTGGAGTCTCACTGAATGCCTCTTTCATAGTTTTTCATACAGTTGATTGCCTCTCTCGTCTTTAAAAAAACAAAAACAAAACAAAACTGGTTCAGTTCATAGTATTGCATCCATTTTAACTGTACTGTTCATTTCTTAGTTTTCATAAATATACCAGGGTTACATAAGATATCGACATTTAAGAAAGCTGGGTGAAGGGTATATGGGTAGGAACCCTGTTCTCTCTTTGCAAGTCTTCTATAAACCTAAAGTTATTTCAAAAATAGTTTTAAAAACAAAACAAAATTTTAAAAATGAATTTAAAAAATGGAGTTAACACTTCTTTTTCTACCTACCATCCCATTTTTTCCTTCCCTTCACAGTAAAATTATTTGAAACTATAACCTATATTCACTCATTACCATTTATTTCCTCCCAGTTCTTCTTAAAGCCACCCCAATGTTTTCACTCTCGATCTCCACCTTGTCAAGATCACCAATGACCTCCCAGTTGCTAAACCAAACTCATCAGAACTCATCTCCCTGTCACATCTGCAGCGCGTCACAGCTGACCATTCTTCCTTGACACACTTCCTTCATGTGGCTGCCTCACCCACCCGCAGCTTCTTTTCCTCCTTCCTGCTTATTAGAGCACCTTTTGCAACTCTAAGAGGCGCAAACCCCAACAGCTCCCACAACTTAGTGTAGATCACTAACACAGTAGAGGAAGCCTGAAACAAGCTGAATTATCAAAAGGGATGAAAACAAAACAAAAAAGCCATGAATTCATACCATAATGATACTTTAAAAAATCTAGTTATCTTTGGAGGTTGCTAGGGCACCAACTCATTGTAGGCTAATTGACTTAAAAAAGAGAGAGAATCAAGCATTGATCTTGTCTTTCCTGTTTTTACTCATTTCAGGGCAAAGTGAATAAGGGTAAGTTCTTTAGAGAACAATCCCAGGGAATAGATGCAAGAAAATGATAGAAATGGACAATTAATCCTTAATGAATGGTAGGTATAGGCAATGATCAACAGCTACTAAAATAATTAGGTGAAAGGCTGGTAGAGAACTTCATACTGGATGGATCAGGCTGATGCAGTTAAGTGACTTGCTCAAGGTCATCTCCCTAGTCAGTGGCATAGCTGAGATCTGAACCCAGGCAAGTCTGGCTCGAGGACTCCCTCCAGTCTACATTCCCAGGCACCACACTATAATTTCCACGACGCCCTGCTGGAGTTAGCTCGGTGTGAGTACCAAAGAGATCTTGACTGGCCTGGTAGGCAAGGGCAACAGGACATTCTTGGCCAGCAGACCAGAAATACTGTTCAGCTCTCAACACCAGAAATGACAGAGCTGGAAGGAACCACAGTCCGTGCGAAGGTCACAACCTGGCCCATCTCCGCGGTTTACAGATGGTGACGGTGAGTCACTGGCAGGGTGGTGAGCAGAGCGGGGATCTCCAGGACAGGTGGCCCTCGCTCTATGACAACAGCAGGCACACAGGCTGTGGTGTTGGGTGGACGGAGGCAGTGGGTGGCACTCCTCGCACGCCACACGAAGATACTCACCCTGCACCTCCGCTCCCAACACAGGAAGGCCTGGGGAGCCATTTCCTCCATACCTCGCATCTCCTCCCTGCCAGATGCTGTTGCCAGTTGGCAGAAGAGCCCCTTGCTGCTCCCACGTCCCTGAATCTCATTGTGCTGTGCTGCTGTGCTCTCGAGTACTCAGCCCTAAAGCCCAGCCCTCAGCCTGGACACTTTGGGGTTAGCTGCATCAGGAATCCTTACAGTGGCCAGAGCTTCTCACATTCCCTTCATCTCTGAAATGCCGACGATCTCTGCCTTGATGGATGTTAATATTCCTATCAGGTCAATGGCCCCTCTCCTTCCACCGAATTCATATCTGGCATTGAACCTAGAGGGTATTATGCTAAATGAAATAAGTCAGATAAAGACAAATACCATATGTTGCACTTACATGTGGAATCTAAAAAACAAAATAAATGAACAAACAAAACAGAAACAGACTCATAAATACAGAGAACAAACTGATGGTTGCCAGATGGGAGCGGGGCTGGGGGAAAAGGGTGAGGGGATTAAGAAGTGCAAATTGGCAGTTACAAAAGAGTCACAGGATAGAAAGTGCAGCACAGGGAATACAGTCAATAATATTGTAATAACTATGCATGGTGCCAGGTGGGTACTAGACTGCCTGGAGGGATTACTTTGTATATTATATAAATGTCTCACCACTGTGCTGGATGCCTGAAACTAACATAAAATAATATTGAATGTCAACTGTAATTGGGGGGGAAAAAAGGAAGTAGTTGACAAATGATCTCTGCTTAAAACTTGACAAAATTCACCCTAGCCGGTTTGGCTCAGTGGATAGAGCGGCAGCCTGCGGACTCAGGGGTCCCAGGTTTGATTCCGGTCAAGGGCATGTACCTTGGTTGTGGGCACATCCCCAGTAGGAGGTGTGCAGGAGGCAGCTGATCGATGTTTCTCTCTCATCGATGTTTCTGACTCTCTGTCCCTCTCCCTTCCTCTCTGTAAAAAATCAATAAAATATATTTTTTAAAAAAACTTGACAAAATTCAAAACAGGGTGGAGGCTAGACTGGTGATGCCAGCCATCGTCAGCCCGTAAATCACGGCTGTTTCAGCCCTCGGTCCCTGGGAGGCTGCAGCCAGAGATGAGAGGGCACCTGCTTTCCATCAGCCCAGGCACGGACTCTCTCGGCTGCAGCTCCTGGGTTTCCCGCACTGAGTGTCCTTCCCAGACTCTGTGTCCTCAGCGCTCTCCCAGCAGGCAGCCTTTGCCCCAGACTGCTTGTCTCAGAAAGGGTGGCCTGGCCCCGGCCCATGGATTTCTTTTGGATTTTAAAAAATCTAAACAAGGATAAGAACCACAGTCTGCTTTCTAGCAGTTTCACCAGGGCAGCCTTGGAACGAGGCTGCACCATTCCCTCTCCCTCTCCCTGTCCTGGGACTGCCTCCCCACCTGGGCTTAGTGAGAAGTCAGATGTGAGTTGCTTCTTTCAGTCACTCAACAAGTATGTGTTGAGGAGCTGCTGCTTCCAGAGACGGCCCTGGCAAAGGGATGAAATAAAAGGCAGAGAAGCGGGATTTGGAAACGGCTCTATACCCCCTAATCAATCCTAAGCACATGACTATAGCCAGCCAGCCCGGCCAACGAAGGCAGATTCCACATGGAACACAGCGGTCCCCAAGGCCTTTGTCCCAGCAAAAAGCCGCCTCTACACGCAACGCTAAGGCGGGCAGCCAGGACACTGAACACAGAAAGGGTTTCATTTGAGAAAAAACTAACAATCAGTCGGGATACACACTTCGGATATTCATTCACATTAAGCAAATCTGCTGGCTATTCAATTCCTTAAAGCAGTTTCCCTAACAATATTCTGTTTCCAAACCCAGCTTGGATGGTCTGAGGAAGCAGGGCTGCGGGCCATGGGAAGGTCAACTAGGACATTGAGTATAAAGGATTTTCAGAGAAACAGGATTAAGAATGTGTTTAAATTATAAGTTTATTGAATATAAGATATATAGGCTGCTGTCAAATAATTTAAAGATAGCCTACATTTCACAGACAAAACCTCATTTTCTTATGATTAAATGTAAGTATATGTCTTCTTTTTCCCTCAGGGGAAAGGAAATCAATTCAAGGTACATCATGAGATAATCAAACAGTTACTAATAAAAGAAAGTCAATACAGTAAAAAATAGTTCAATGAAGTCTTTGCCAGAAGTTGATCATTTAAGTCTTGTCAGCTGTTTTTTCTTTTCTGCTCCAGCAGGTCACTCTGCCCACAGCCTTAAGAAAAGATGGAGTGGAGGTAACTTCATCTTGCCTCGAATCGTGTCCCGGGTAAATCCCACAACCCTCTCCTTTCTACCTTTGCCTGCTCCCTACCACCACTTCTCAAAGCAGATGTGTTCTTTGGGAACATGGCTGTTTTCTAGTTGCTTGGAGAAAAAGTCTGTCATTGGAGGTGGGCCACAAATGTAGAACAAAGTCTCTCTTGAAATGTGCTCTCTTATCTCCTTCTCCGTTATTCTTCCTTCTACCAAGAAACAGAATAAACACCAAATTAAGCCAGACATGTTTGTATTGAAAGGAGAAGGACTAACCACAATGCAGCAACAGTGTTTATTTTCAGTAACTGGAGCTTAGTGAGCCCAGTCTTGAGTCATTCACACGATGGCTCCTGCTGGCACCTGGGCCAGGCCCCAGCAAAGTACATCTCCGGTTTCCTACACTTATGGCAAGTAAAGTGGGAAGCCAATCGCAATGCGCTCTCAGACACGGGCAGTGAACTTACTGCTCTTTGGGAGAGATTCAAAAGTGCCTTTAGCAGTAAAGAAACTGTTTTGTGAAAAATCCTTCCAGGCAGGGGAAACCACGAGTAATTTAAATTACCATTAATGGCAAATGGCATCGGTTCAGCCGAGGCTGGAATATAAATTCTTTGCATGCATGCTACAGTGATGATGCAAAGGTCCCCTAAAAAAATGTGGAGAATAAATTTTTAATATCGGCCGTAGGAACACAGTATATAATAAATAAATCCAACTTAATCTCTCCTTATTTTTCCATGATGAATCACCTCTCTATTCCCCAGGTAGTGACATTCCCAGCCAGCAAGTCCAAACAATAAAGCATCTACACTCAACCAACTGGCATGTCCACCACTTTACTATGGGGAGACAGTCAAAACATCTTTAGGGGACTCACCCGTGATGTATGGCTTGAGTTCTGCACTGATTGGTGTAGTCTGCTTTGTAACATGCAAACTGCATGCAATCTTCTCAGGAAATTCATTTACTAAATCGAGGATATTTTTCTGGAATGTCAAACGTATTTGGTCACACTACAATTTTAAAAAATCAAAACAGATGTGCACAACCACTGACGCCGAGCCTCGCCTCCCATGCAGCACACGTCTGTGCTCTTGCTCTCTACTTACGGAGATATTGTTTGCAGCCGAGCAGGCCAGAGCTCTCAGAGTACTGAGGCTATTTGGCTTTAATTGAAATCTGAATATGCTAACAAGCATATTACGAACTCTCCGGGAGTTTATTCTTTTTCCTTTTTCTCAAGCCTGGGCAATTAAGCAGCAGTTTCACTGACCACAGTTCTGTCTTTTTAACTGTTACTGTTCTTTTGTTCATCCTTGCAGCTGCAAAGCAATCCGGTGAAAGCCTTCTCCATCAAATGTACTTAGTTTCCACAGATGCAGCTGATGGGGGTTTCATGTACCCAGCTGGGTCCCAAGCACACACTTCTCACCTCCTCTTGAAACACAGGAGCCCACTTGTGCTTCTCCTGACTCTTTACAGTCCCAGGTCCATGGCGACTTTTCTGTCCACCCACCTCCAAATGCAAGCCCACCGGACCTGCCCTAATCCCATCATGCCCCTGGGAGCCTCCTCAACACCAGCGGTTGTAATTGTCCTGGTAAGATGTGTTGGCTAATTCTCATTTGAAGGTCAGATTAAGATTTGTCAGGCCGCCCTAGCCAGTTTGACTCAGTGGATAGAGTGTCGGCCTGCAGACCGAAGGGTCCCGGGTTCGATTCCAGTCAAGGGCAAGTACCTCGGTTAGGACTCGTGCAGGAGGCAACCAATCAATGTGTTTTTCTCACATAGATATTTCTCTCTGTCTTTCCCTCTCTCTAAAAATCAATGGAAAAATATCCTCGGGTGAGGATTAAAAAATAAATTTGTCAGGCCTTTTGTTTGAACTGCTGCAGAGAAAACAGAACTGAGAGAGGCAAGTTCCGTGGACAATTAGTACCATGACACGTCTGCTCCCAGCAAGCTATGGAACGTACATTTCCCCTTACCTTAAACAGGAGTTCGCTGGTGTTTTTTGCACTGTAGAAGAGTCTTATTGTCCCTATCTCATATCCACTTCCTTGGTTTGCCCGTTCTCTGTGGAGATCGGCCGCATGCCGCAGGATGGAAAGCAGAGGGTTAATTCCGACTCCTCCTGCGATCAACACGAGGTTCCTAGAGGCGTCCGCAGGCTGAGGGTCAAAGAAGAACTCTCCACCCACTCTCACGGCCACTTCAGAGTCAAGTGCGCACTAGGCAGGAAAGGAAAGATCCTGAGGCCTTACACAGGTCTAAAACCAAACGTTCTTCCCTAGGGAACTGTGACTACCTCTGGCGTGCCTATCTGTATTTAGGACTATTTTTCCAGCTTGCTCTCAAGTTTCCCAGGGCCCTGTGAGTTAATTCCATTTGCCCATGACACAGGCAATTTGCTCCTCTGCCTGTGGGACCCATACTCACAGCTGGATTCGCTTGAATAACTCTGCCATTTGTTAACTATGTAGGTGAGGGCCTGGGTTGTGAAAAGAGGCACAGGGACACCTCTGACGTATGAGTTTCCTTTTCTGAGTGGCACTCCTGTTCTGATCAAAGCCATGGAGCTTAGAGCCTAGACGGGCAAGTGTCACTGACTGTGGCTGCCCTGGACTCATTGGCGCTGAGAAGCGTGGGCACTGGGGGCTTCCTTCTAGTCGCCAGCAGGGCACAGCCAGGCCTGCTCCACAGACTGAGGCCAGTGGCCACCACTGTAGTACTGATCAGACTGTTCTTTTCTCCCTGGAGCAGTGCGAACAGGAAGCCTGAGGCTTCACACCATAGAGTGAGTACCACCCCCGCCCCCCCTCCCACACACACATAAAGCACCTACTGCTCTGTGAAGTCACACCAGACTCAGAGCTGAATGCCCTGGTTCTCCAGAGGCGAGACTGCTCTGATGGGGGTGTTTTGGAGACTTGTAGTGACATTTCTTTATTGTCACAATGATTTGGAGAACCCAACTGGCACTCAGGGGCAGGGTGAGAGGTGCTATGTCCTGTGCAGTTAGCGGTGTTCTGGCGCTGGCTCCTCCTAAGCCGATGGTAGAATGCGCAGGAATTCTGTGAGCGAGTACCTACTGCTAGTTTGTGATCAGCCACTGTGGGAGTGTTTACAGCACAGAAATCAGCAAAGGCTACAAATCAGAGCTTTCTTACTCAGAATGCCGGTTTAGTAGCACACCATTTCCTGCAATGCACAGGACTGCCCGCCAGACTTCCGAATGGCCCGTGGGCCATACATGCATAGGTGAAAACGGGTTTCTAATGACCTGAGACTAGACTCTAACTCATTCTACAAAAAAAACTAGAAGATTTTTACTTTTCACACGGATCTAACATAGTTTGAGTTTTCGAGAATCTAACCACTGTGTAGACTGTATTTTGTTGTGTGTTCATTCACTTTTCTGGAAAACTGCATCACAGTTGGTAACATGTGTGTGGTCCTGTCAACATACAACCTGCACACTTGCACTTGCAGACAGTGTATTCATGTGATTCTACATTGAGGGACAGCTGTCTGACAACTTCATTCTATCTCTTAGCTCTAAATATGCCTAAGCATTTACATACTGAAATAAAGTATTTGGTTATTAATCACTTTCCTTTATTTCTCCTTTGTATCACCCTTGGAGAAGTATGTTAAAAAAATTATGTTAACTACATTAGCTTTGGATTTCATTTCAGGGTAGTTATAGAAAGGGGCCACTGGACATGACAGGGTTGAGAACACCTAGTTTAGGGGGAAACGCAGTAACCTAGGCGTTAGAAGACTCAATCACTGTCCCTATGCAATCCAGCCAGTCCCTTTACTTCTCTGAGCCGCATCTGGAAAATGGGTCCCAGCAGTGGGCCTGCTCACCCTCAGGGCTGTGGGGGGCATTACATGACACACTGGGGACACTCCCTGTTGGAATCAAGCTCCACAGAAGAGGATGCTGGGGTCACTGTGGCTGAGAAAAAGCACGGGGTGCCAGCTTCCTTCTTTCCTGTCACTAAGAAACAGAACCTAAAACTAAGAAATTTGTATTGAGAATAGGTGTGTTCCATTACATGCTCCTGACACAAATCAACTAAATGAACTCCCTCCTCAGAAGTAATAATGTACCACATGCTTTCTGAAGACCAAACCTTGAGCACTCACACCTTGGCACCATGCATGACAGGCAATCCTTTTTGACATCCATTTAATTTGGGGCTCTACAAGTTACAGAAAAAATCTTAGAGAAAATCTAAGAAAAAATGAAAAATTATTTGAATTTCACAAAGAAGGTCCCTTGGTAAAGAAGTGTTAAATGAATGGAAATTCTTTCTCTAAGGGAAAAAGAAAACCCACTTGAACTATTTTAAATACGTCGAAGAGTTTTACATAAGGACGTAAGTGGTTTCCGTTTTTGACAAAAGGAATTAGCAGCAAGGGGGCATTCTGTAAGTAGTACTAAAATGTAAGAGTCACTAGACTGGCTACCAAAGTGCTTTAAAATACTCCTTCCTTTCAAGTCTTGAAAACAGAATTTATGATACAAGAGTCTCTGCCTAACAATGGCAATGAATTTAATCTCTCTGCACCGTGCTTCCCCCTCTTGTTTGCTTTGTTTATCTCTTTATCTCTAAGACTCTAAGAGTAAAAGAGACTAAGAAATGATTTTCTCCTGTGGTCATCTCCAGCATGCTTAGTAATGACAACAAACAAAGCCTTCAGGTTATTGTTTTTAGAAACCACAGTATTTTCAACCCTAAAGTTGCCAAGAAACCGCGCCCCAGGGAAAGATAATACTCAAGAAGACTTTGTCTCTTTAGTGACAAAATAATCTTCAGGAGATCTATCTTCTAATTTGCTAGCATCTGGAAAGAATCAAAGCCATCTTTGTCTTTTGTTGATCAATAAAAACTGCCAGGGTAGCATGAGCACAAGACTCGCAGTCTGTACAGCACAATATGGAAGTGAGTAAAAGGATATTACCTTCAATTACATAGCAATGTATCTAATCTGGGTATAGATTTTCTACTTGTGAAACAAACAACTCTTCCACAGCTACGGGAGCAGACACACAATAGCTGTCTAGAACCCTTTACCCTGCCAGGAGTTTGAGCCAAAACAGATAAAATAAAGGAAGACATTTATGGCACTTTATTCCATGTCCCAACAGAGCAGCCTGCTGCCACCCAGACACTCACGTGCCTCCATTGTCCACTTGAATAGCTTAATAAGACAAATTCTCAGGAGGGATATAGGCACCTGAGACTGGTTCCAAGAAAAATCTGACTTCATAAAGGCCGTTTGCAGCTCCCACTGGGCAGAGTGGAACAAGCACTACAATTAGGATGTGCATTCAAGCAATGCCACTTGGAGATTTTCTATAGCCTCTAAGAATAAGTTTCTTCATTGAAATGCCAATGAGGCATGAAACCAAGCGGGGAGTTATGGACCAGGACCAGGTCAGGTCACGTGGGAGGCTGACAACCGGAGGGGCTCCTGGCACTAGGAGCCGGGATGGCTGGGCTCATTTTAACAGTGAGCGTGGGGCACGTGAACAACTTGCTGGCCCCATCCCTGCAGCATATTATAGAAACTCAGGATGTAGCCTAGAGATAATAATGGATAGAGAATCTAAAAAGGAATGATGCAGCTGAGGTCACACCGAAGGGAGGACTCAGGACAGAGGACAAATGTGGCAGGATACGTTTACGATGGAAATGCTAAGGCAAGCAGCTAGGGGTTATTCTGAACAGACAACTGGACATGTAAACCATAGGAAGGCCATATACTTTTATGCCCCTACAGATTTAAAAATCTTTATTGTTTAAATTATTTTACAGGGGAATTTTTTGGGGTGCACAGTTCTATGAATTTTCATACATACACAGAACTGTGTAACTACCACCAGAATCAAGATCTAAAACAGCTCCCTCAAGCCCAAAACACTCCCTTGTGCTATCCTTTTATGCTCACCCCCTTCCCCACCCCTCCCTCTTGTCAACTACTGATCTGTTTTCCGTCATTGTATTTTTGTTTTCCAGAATGTGACATAAATGGGATTATACAGTACATAATCTTTGAGACTGGCTTCTTTCACTGACCACAATGCCTCTGAGATTCACCCAAGTTGCTGTGTGCCATCAATAAACAGCTCCTCTGCCTTTACTGCTGAATAACAATACAGCATCACAGTGTGCTTACCCACTCACCTACTGTGGGTCATTTGGGGTGTTTCCAGTTGGTGATAACTATGAACAGAACTGCTATAAACATTCATGTACAGGCTTTAACATGAACAGCGCCTTCATCTCTCTAGTATTGGTATTGCTGGGCCCTAGGGTAAGTGTGTATTGCCAAAATGCTTTTCAGAATGGCTATAGAACTTTGCATTCCTGTTAGCAATATAATAGTTACAGTTGCTCTGCAACCTTGTCAGCACTTGGCATTATCAATATTTTCCATTTGAGTCATTCTAATAGGTCTGAAGAGATATCCCACTACTATGGTTTTACTCTGCATTTCCCTAATAATTAATGTTTAGAGATGTTAAACATCTTTTCACTGCTTATTTGCCATCCTTATATCCTTTTTAATAAAGTGTCTCTTCAATCCTTTGACCATTCTTAAATTATGCTTGTTGTTTTGGCTGATTTTTGAGAGTTCTTTATAAATTCTGCATACAAGTCCTTTGCTGGATATCTAAAATGCAAACACTTTCTCCTAGTTTTCAGCTTATTTGTAAAAAATTGTAAATAGTGTCTTTTGCATTAAAAAGTTTTAAATTTTAATTAAGTCTATCTATCAAACTTTTATGGATCTTGCTTTTTTGGTGTCATGTCTAAGAAATCTTTGCCCACCCTCAAGTTTTGAATATTTCCTATGCTTTCTTCTAAAACATATAGTTTCATGTTTTATGCTTAGATCTATAACCTATTTTGATTTAATCTTGAATAAAAAGTATGAGAGGTTCTTTTTTTGGGTATGGATAGGCAATTGTTCCAACACTATTTGTTGAAAAGGTTATCCTTTCTCCATTGAATTTCTTTAACACCTTTGTCAAAAATCAAGTGGCCAGCCCTGGCTGGCATTGCTCAGTGGTTACAGTGTCAGGCCATTCACCAACAAGTTGTGTGTTTCATTCCCAATCAAGGGTATGTACCTGGGTTGCAGGTTCGATTCTCAGTCCTGATGGGGGCACGTGTGGGAGGCAACCAATTGATGTATCTCTTACACTGATGTTTCTCTCTCTCTCTCTCTCTCTCTCTCTCTCTGCCCCCTCCCTTCCACTCTCTCTAAAAATAAAAATCAATGAAAAAAAACTAAGTGGCCATATGTATATCAGTCTATTTCTGAACTTTTTATTCTGTTCCATTGAGCTGTGTGTCTATCCCTATACCAATACCACACTTTTGATTACTGTAGCTTTATTTAATCTTAAATTTGAGTAATATGATTCCTCCCATTTTAGTTGTCTTTTTCAAAACTGTTTTATTCAAGTTCCTTTGCCCCTTGATATAAATTTTTAAAATATATACAATATCTGTACTGGTACACCTTTTTGGTAAAGGGGATTAAGAGAATGCCTGGGATGGGATGGGTTTTGGTAAATAAAGTCGGCACACTTGAGAAGTGAAGGTGATGGCAGTGAAAAAAGCACAAGGTTCAAAACCTAAGAAGACTAATAACTGACCTGCTTGAGCCCCTTCTTGTTATCAGACTTCTAGCAGGGGATGAACATGCCGCTTATGCAGGCTGTGTTTGAGTCCCGTGAGGAAGCACGAGTTATTAGCAGCCAACATGGATTCCCTCTCAGAACCCCATGTGACGAGCCCTCTAGAGCCTGCCATGGAGAGGAACTGACCCCACAGATTTAGCGTGCTCAGCTCTGGCCTGAGCAGTATGTGATCAGGGATATGTTCCCTCCAAATGATGACAGAATGGCAGTTTAATTCCCTTTTATTTAGGATTATTAGGACAAAATAATGTGATGTGTAGATTTAAAATTTACAAGACATACAAAGAGCCAATTTTCACAACCTTACATATAAAGCAAAATGCTTTACTCCTATGGTAGTATTCAACTAAATACTGTTTGGTGTCTCAGAAGATATTTCCAGATCCCAAAGTATCTTCGAATCATATTTAATGCACCAAAAAGACTCTGCTTCTTTGGACTTTTGGAGCCTGAATTCAGGATGCAAAGGAGCTCTTTGTGAGCATGTACCCTCCTCACACAAGCCTGGTTTCTTAGATTAAGTGAGCTGAACACAAACTGTGGGAGGCAGAGATGCCGTAATCTGCAGGTTTAAACAGAGATCTGCTCACCTGTTTGTGAATCCAGACAGCAGGAGGGTGGTTCGTATATTTCACTGCCAGTTCTATTACTCTCTCCTGTTCTAGCAGTCGGGGGCTGGAGCATATTGAGAACCCACCAACCACAGGGACTCCTGGGATAAAGAAATCAATCCTAAAAGGAAAGGAAAATAAATTATTACTGTTGAAGCAATTTTAAAAGTGGGGAGCAAGGTGAACAAAACTGACAAACTTTTAGCTAGACTAAGAAAAAAACAAGAGACAAAAAGACACAAAACTACCAAATTAGACAAAAAATAAACAGAAAATCTGAATAGACCCAAATTAATTGAATGACTAATTTTAAAACTTTCCACAAAGAAAAGGGTAGGTTCTGGTGTTATCACTCATGAATTCTACCAAGCATTTAAAGAATAATTAATACTAATCTTTCACAAACTTCCAAAAAATAAGAAAAGACCGCTTCCCAACTCATTCTATTACCGTGATACCAAAACCAGAGAAAAGTATCACATGGAGGGAAACTATAGTTCAATATTCCTTGTGAATATAAATACAAAAATCCCAGGAATATAAGGTTGGTTTACATCTGAAAATCAACCAATGAAATACACCACTTAATAAAGGAGAGTCAACAGATGCAGAAAAGGCATTTGAAAAAATTCAACATCCTTAGATAATAAAAATACTCAACAAACTAGGAATAAATGGGAACTTACTCAGCTTGATAAAAGGCAGCTACAAAATACCCATAGCTAACACCATATTTGATGGTAAAAGGCTGAAAGTCTGTCCCTGCCGCACCCCCAAGAACGGAAACAAGACATGGATGTCTGCTCCCATCACTTCTATTCAACATTGTACTAGTGGTTCTAACCAAGGCAATTAAGCAAGAAAATGAAATAAAAAGCATCCAGACAGGAGAGAAAGAAGTTGCAGATGACATGATGTTGTATATAGAAAGTCCTAAGAATTTACTATGAAGATAATAAAACTAAGTAACAGGTCAAATAAGGTTGCAGGATACAAAATCAATAACAAAATCAATTGTATTTCTATAAACCAGCAATGAACAATCTAAATGTGAGTTTAAGAAAAATAATTATATTTGTAATAGAATAAAAAAGAATAAAATAATTAGGAATAAATTTAACAAAAGCAGCACAAGACTTGTATAATGAAAACCACCAAACCTTGTTGAAAAAGAATCAAAGATCTAAATAAATGGGAAGACATCTCATGTTAAGGGATTGAGACTTTATATGTTAAGATAGCAATATTCCCCAAATTGATCTCTAGATTCAATGCATTATCTATCAAAACCCAGCTGGTTTCTTTGCAGAAATTGTTAAGTTGATCATAAAATTAATATGGAAATTCAAGGAACCCAGAATCATCAAAACTTACTATTAAAGCTACATTAATGAAGACACTGTGATACTGGCATAAGAACAGGCTTATAGATCAATGAAAAAGGACTGAGAGTCCAGAAATAAACGCTTAAGTTTATGGTCAGTTAATTTTCAACAAGGGTACCAACACAATTCAAAGGCAAAAGAAGAGCCTTTCAATAAATGGTGCTGGGACAAGTGAATATCCATATATAAAAAGAACAACGTTTGATCCCCACTTCACACCATATACAAAAGTTAACTCAAAATGGCTCACAGACTTAAATGTAAGAGCTAAAATTATAAACTCTTAGAAGACTTACACAGGAGTAACTCTTCATGGCAACAGTTACCTAGACACCAAAATACAAAGATCAAAGAAAAAAATAAACTAAACTGCATCAAAATTAAAAACATTGTGCTATAAATGATCCCAACAAGAAAATTAAAAGACAACTGACAGAATAGGAAAAAATATTTTCAAATCATACATCTGATAAGGGATTTGTATACAGAATATGTAAATAATTCTTATAACTCAATAAAAAAAAAGACAACTCAAATAAAAAAATGCGCAAAGGATTTGTATGAACATTTCTCCAAAGAAGATATATAAAATGACTAATTAACACATGAACATTTTAAGTTATTAGGGAAATGAAAATCAGAATTACAATGAACTAACACGTCACACTCAGTGGGATGGATGGCGAATCAGACAGACAACAGCAGTGTTAGTGAGGAAATTGGAAGCCTTGTACATTAGTGAGGATCTAGAGAAATTGGTAGGACTGCAAAATGGCACGGCCACTTTGGAAAACAGTTTGGCAATGCCTGACAATGTCTGAATTATCATACTATCAACAATTCCACTCCCAGGTATATATCCAAGAGAAATGAAAACATATGTCCACTCAAAACAGGCACATGAATATTCATAGTAGCATTATTGATAATAGCCTAAAAGTGAAAACAATCTAAATGTTCATCAACTGATGAATATATAAACAAAATAAATTATAACCATACAATGGAATGAAGTAATGATACATGCTACAACATAGATGAACACTGGAAATTATATGGTAAGTGAAAGAAGCCAATCATAGAAAAAAACCACATATTGCATAATTCCATTGGTATGAAATATCCAGAAGAGGCAAACACATATATACACAAAAGAGATAGTAGTTGTCTAAGGAGGATGGGAGTCAATGATAACTGGCATAGGGGTTTCTTTTGGGGATGATGAGAATGTTCTAATTTGATTGTGCCAATGGTTTTACAATTCTGTGAATATACTAAAAACCATTTTAAGTGGCTAGATTTTATACTTTAAATGGGTGAATTTTATGGTTTGTAAAGTGTATCTCAAACAATTTTAAAAGGTGAAAAAAAAACAACGGAAACTCTTTCACTGGTATTTGACAAACTGAACAGGTTGATGTGGCCTTCTAAGCTGTGGAAGTCTCATGTTTCTTTCTTTTCTTCTGACCACACTCCTATAGGCCAGGACTCCTGGAAGTTTCCAGCCTTCAGGAATTCTATGCCACAGGAACCCTTTTTGGGTGGGGTCTAAGAAATGCAACAGACCTAGTCACATACCAAGAAAAGAAAAATTTATTGGAATCTGGGACCACAAAAGATTCTCATCTCCATGTCTAGGGAATGTAAACATCCAATCTTGATGTTTCTCAGCCATCACAGAGCAATAGTATCATTTTCCCCAGCTGTTTTCCTACCAGTAGACTTACACAAAAAGCACACAATGTTCTCTACTGATTTGATCTATGACCTTAAAAGATGTTCTCTTTTGCTCTATGACCTTAAATATCCGGTCATTTTTTTATAGTCTTTAAAAACCAGTTCTGGACTGGAAGTACTCCAGAAAAGGTCCCTATATTTAATTGACCATTTCCCATGAATGCCTTAATTTCCCTTTCATTTCAGGCAAGATGCAATTTTTAAAAACTATAGTTAACACTTATTAACACAGATGCTATATGCTTTCTCAGAGAAGGTATAAAGCACCTCCACAGCTTCCATGTTTAAAAAAATAAATACATCAATGAGCTACTTTTGCGGCTTCATCGCCTGAATTATAGCGCCCTCTGCTGCTTGGTGTTGCTAAAGACCATTCTCAGGTGAGTGAAAGGAAATCTTTCTTCTCTAGAAACTCTGGAAAGACAGACACCTTTAGAAAGAAGGACTCCATTAAATGCTACAGAAGAATTCAAATGACATAAAAACCTCACCTGAATGGATTTAAGAAAATATGTACAATACATATTTAATAAAACATCTGTCCAAGAAAGTGTCTGAAACACATACACACAGTAATCCCTTTGCACGATTAGCACTCTTGGAGCTGAGATGAGGCACCTACTGCACCTCCACCTACCGTACCTCCAGATGTGTGAGTATATGAAGAACTGAGAGGAAGGGCCCGATTCCGTAGCGAACCACACATATCCACATCCAACTGTCCAGGCAGCCCTGTCCTGGCCAGCCGCAGTCCCAGTGCCCCGCACACACCAAGCATGCAAACCAGATCCCAAACTGTCCTCAGCAACGGTCCTCAGAACCCCTCACCCTTCCTTGCGCAAACACTGCAGACGGAACCTGCCTACCATGTACAAGTGCTGTGGTTCACGGTGGATGTCAAGATGCAAGGATGTCTTGGTTCCTGCCCTCAATAAACCCCTAATGATAGGAAAGTTAACAAATAAATGCAATTAAATGAGCTATGACAAAATCTGCAAATGGCTATGCTGTCCCCATGAAGTCAAAGGAATTCACAGTCCCTACAGCCATGCCATCTATTAGTGCTAACGGAGCAATCTTTTAAAAGAGGAGGATCCAGGTGCCAGGAATGAGTGCTGAGTGACACCTGGCAGGGAAAGGGTCATGGCTAACCGGCCAGAGATGACCTCCGAAGCCAGAATCTATCAGCCACATACTAAAACCAGTCCTAACATCAGTAACCTGACTAAATCCATTCACTGATATGGGATATATAACACCCTCAATAATTTTATCTTGAGATCACAATGGAACCTATTTCTATATATATATGTATCACTGGAGAATGATGACATTTTCCTCATCAGGTAACCACAGTTTGCAAGTGCTAATACACTTGCAGGTAACACAGTTTGCAAGTGCTAAACCAATGCATGGGATTTTTGTAGCAGCGTTATAAACCAATGCATGGGATTTTTCTAATCAGGGACTGGGGACAGTCTTGGCACAATTCAGAGCTGAAGGCAAAGAGACAATGCTGTGCACAGGACACAAATACTTCCCCAGAAGGGAAATGTGGAAAGACAGATCGTCACAATTAAAGTTTCCATTTTCCAATGTAATAACTGCTAAATAGTTTTGAAGGGTAAAAATGTTGCCCACCTCCCCCCTAAAACAGCCCAAATGCATTTAATATGTATCACTGAACATGTGCAAAGATTGCAGTAAATTGCTTCACAAACGCAAATTATTGCAATCAGCATCTTGTTTTCTAGTTCTAAATTCAAAGGCAAACTATTAACACAAGACTGCTAACTCTTGCTATTATCACACTTGCTATTATCACACATCCTCCTTCTAACAAAACCACATTTCCAGATGGACTGCCAAAATTAGTCAAGTGACTCCTAAGAAATGCGACCGCACTGACATGCCAGAAATTCATTTAGAAGTGAATGCTTTATTTAAATAAAGGAAACATACACCCAAACACACCTTTCCTAAGGAAATACAAGTTGCTTTATTTACAATTCACGTGAATTGCAGCTCCGTGAGGCCATTCGCAGGGAGTGGGACGAGACGGGACAGCTGGGCTGTTACCCTGTCAGCACACTGACTAGTCCTCAGAGCCCAACGGCCGACTCATGCGTGTGGTGCGCGCTAGGCCTGCCTGGGGCTCCTGATAATGAACTCAGCACTGATAATAAACTCAACCCAGACGAGATATGAGTGATGCAGGAACTTGGTTGAGAGGGTGGTCAGCGCTGTGACATACCGGTTATTCTTCTTTCCAGACTGCCGTTTCCTCTGAATTTGACGTAAGGAACACTCATTTTTGAAAACATCAATCCCCGGCAACACGTAACTCCAGGTTAGATTACTTCAGTGCATTTTACTAGCAACCATCTTACAGACAGAATTATCAGTTGCCAGGTTCATGGACCAGAACTAGCTGCTTTGTTTCAATAAGAAAAACTCAAGGCAGCAATTTTCATGTATGACTGAGAGGGTCTGGGCTCAAAACCGAGGCAAGCTCTGAGGCTAGGAAAGAAACTGGTTCTCCGTGTCAAGGAGGGCTCACCCTGAATGGAGGTGGTCTAGATTCCTACCCCTCAGGAGAAACAGTGGGCCACAGACGTCCTTTCCAGAAACAAAAACAAGCCCTTCTATCTGGTGGCATCTTCCTGAGCACATACAACCCCTAGAAACAGAAAAGCCACTCACCACTGGCCAGCTTTAAAGGAAAAGTCTTGATCAGCAACAAGCAGGCGGAGCCTCTTCACAGAGGGTGACTCATTGGCTGTTCCACACACCTTAGCTGCCGTCACGACCTTTGAGTCAAAAGATGAACTGGCTGAGGTTAGTGTGTACACAATGCAAGGAACAAACTGTGGCTTTCTGGTAACTCAGGTTTTTTCAAAATCTACAAAGATGTGGTTTCTTAAAATTGCAAAACAAGGTAAAGCATGCTTTGCTTTAAAATGCTGCCTACCACCAGGTGAACAAATTTTAATTATTTTCTTTTTGAGAGACTTGTTAAAATACTAATTGAGCCCTGCCAGTGTGCCTCAGCTATTGAGCACTGACCCAGGAATTAAGAGGTCACTGGTTCCATTCCCAGTCAGGGCACATGCCCAGGGTCGTGGGCTCGATCCCCAGTAGGGTGCGGTGCGTGCAGGAGGCAGGCATCAATGACGTTCCTCTCTCATTGATGTTTCTCTCTCTCTCTCTATCCCTCTCCCTTCATCTCCCTTTAAATAAGCAATAAAAACATTTTTAAAATATTAATTGAGTTTTATTCTACATACAAAAACCATCTCTTGAAGGGACTGTTTAATAAGCAAGCGTTTATCTGTTGCAAGTCTAGCATGTGCCATGCACCAGGCTGGGCACCCTGAGAATTGCTCAGGGAATGAAGACCTGTTGTAAGCCTGGCATCTAAATTCTCTGTTAGTACAACCTATGCAAAGTGGGACTATGTTAGCTATGAACCTGTGTTTATTCTGAACCTGCAAGAAGTCCATGACATACAAATTGCAGAAATTAAAAGCAACTACAAAACAGATGAATACTCCTAGTGTTCTGACCTCACTGAGTTACTTTCCAGCTCAAAAACCTTCAAGGGCTAACACTCCACTACAAATATAAAAGAATGCTAAAGGCCTTTGTAACTCATACCAGCTTAAGCTCCTCTTGGATCCCTGTGCTACTGGTTTACCAGCCAAACTGGACAGCATGCTGGTCCTCAAAGGCACCTGACACTTGTCTACCTCCCCAATGCTGCCTAGTAATTCGGCATGTGGCACACGCTCTCAGTCCTGTCTATCAACCCCATACCCCACCTTCCAGACCTCTGCTGGAGGCCTTCCTCTTCTCTCCATCCTCTCAACTCTACCCATAAAATGATCTGCCTTTATTATCATACTTAGCCCATATTGATGTAATTATAAATACTCAGGAACAAGTCTTTCACACAGACCACATGCCTTCTGAGATCAGATATTGGGTAGAATTTATATCTATACTAACTTCCCAGGACTAACACACAGTAAGACTCAGTAAATATTTGCAGAATAAATGGAAACTCTAACTTAAAGTCACTTAAAATTGGTTTCTAGAACAAATGTTAGAAGTTTGGGAGCTCTTGTTGCTTAAAAAAAATGTTAGGTGGGGGGAAAAACACTACAGAAAATCTAGATTCATGTTCAAAACTATAGAATTCAGGGAAAGCAGGTCTCCTCAGCAGAACAGGAATCTTATGTTTGCCACACAGTCGATTTTAAATATCTTACTACAAAGACAATAAGAATCATCAGAGGGTTCTCCTTTATTACATTACTAGTGACCCACTGCACGGATTCGTGTACATTGAAAGGAAATTAATTAGAAGGTGGCCAATGGGGCGGGACTGGGCAAGAAGGGCCGGACACGCCCTGGAGCCAACCTCCCTCGGTCCCTCCCTGGTGTCTGCGGAGTGGGGGGGGGGTTTGTCCCTCTGGCAGGTGGGGTCCCTCAGCCTGGCCTGCAGGGATCAGGCTGAAACTGGCTCTCCAACATCCCCCAAGGGGTCCCAGAGTGCGAGAGGGCACTCTGCAAAGTTGCTGTCGTACAGGGTGTGGAACACAAACACAAGTGTACAGTAAACCAGATTCGAGCTGACAGTGCCCCAGCAACAACATAACCCACTGCCGAAGGTGGAATCCCGAGGCCCCACAAGGAATCAGGCTCCCTCCTCTCTGGTTTTGGGGTGTGTCACCTGAGAACCGCCGCTGCCAAGTCACTGCAGCTCAGCAGCTCCTGCATTGAGCGCCTGCCCCCTAGTGGTCAGTACGCATCATAGCAACCGGTCAGACACTTAGCATATTAGCCTTTTATATATATAGATTACTCTCATTTTTCTTAGGTTTCCAGAAATGTTTATTTTGTAAACATTATTTTCCTTCAATATGATAATCTTTAGAAACAAAGCCAACAGCTAGATTAATTCATTTATAACAGCTTAACTGGCATCTGTCAGACTCATGAACAGAGCTAGATATGTGTAAGCTTTAAACACATCCCAAAGGGTCACCTGGTGGCAGAAAAGCCAACATTCATAATCGCTGGCTGGAGGAGGAAGAGGAACACAGAATTCCAACTGAAACATGTGAGCATGCTTCACAATCACATGCTCATCTATGTGAAATGAAATCACCAATCATTTGCCAATGTCCAAATACAAAATTCAATGAAGAAGGGAAAGAAGCTAAATTTCTATTGAAAAAGTCCTATTTTCATTTGGATAGTCCCTATGACCAACAATGTTATTAGATGCTTTATGCCTATTGGTAGTAACTCACACACTAATATATCTGTTGCCATTAGTCCTCATAATCTGGGCACAACTGCTAGAAGTGGTCACACACAATATCTTGTACAATTCATGATTTTTAATACTATTTTATTTCGTTAATACAAATACTGTACACTACATAAAGATTTCTAGCAAAGTGGATTAAAAACATTAGCAAAATATTTTTTGAAGGCCGCATCTTTATTTTATTCTGAAGCTAGTTTCACATGATTAAGATCTGTAATCATGGCCCTTGTTGTATGCCATTTTTTTCTTTACTTTGATTGAATAAGTAAAACATGATGGAGAAACTTTATGTTTTAACATTTGTACTTGTTCTCATACTTAACGGATCAAAAGATTTCGCAACTGAAACCTCAACTAGCCATGCCCTAAGTTAAAACACATGGCAGGAAATTAAGTTTTCCATAAAATAACATTTAGACTCTTCTACTGTTCAATAAAATAACAATACATTTGCCAACTTTTACTAGCACGCATTTTTAAGGCTTTGACGAAGTCAGCATCTAAAAGGAAATTCCATCATACTGATTTTAAAAAGCTGGTTTTATATAGGATATCTTGATGTTACTGCTGCTACAACAGTCTCTGTACAGGAAATAGGTCTTTCTTTGGGAAACCTAAATGGTTTCCGCTGTTCATTCCCATTCATTCTTTTGTTGGCTTAAAAATTTAGACAAAGCCAAGATTAGCGATGACCTGAAACAAAAGAGGGCACAGAGAATTTCAGAGTTGAAGAAAACTCAGTCATCATCAAAAAATACTATGTCATTTTACACATGAGGACACCAAGGCCCAGAGCCATCAGTTCAACTGAGGCAGAATACCACTCTGATGAGTAGAACCTGATGAAAAGATACTGGTTTTACTGAAGAGATTTACTGACAAGGAAAGAGCACAAAATTCTGCCAACTGTACAACTTCTCAAGTGGTTTATGCCTGTCAATACTACATCCTGGCAAATGAATTCTCCTTGTTCCTACCAAAGGCTAACCTATCCACCTGGCTGATCTCTCTGCCTTCTCAAGCCTTCAGTGGAGCAAGTATCCTCTCTCATTCATCACCCCTTTCCCCCCTCTCCACGAGAACACATGCAAGCACTCAGATCTTCCACCTGTAATAACAACATTAGGAGCAAACACCTTTAATCAGAGCTTACCATGTGCCACGCACTCTACACACATTAATTCATTCAACCGTCACAGAAACTGTAGAAGACAAGGGTTAGTACTATCCCCATTTTACATATGAAAAAATGTGAGGTCTCACAGCTAGTAAGTGGCAAAGCAGATACTGGAATCCAGGCACAATCACGTAAAAGTGATTCTGGCTCCACCTTCTCATCTCCTATTCTCTCTCCAACACAAGACAGCCAAGCTTTCACTCTCCGCAATGGACTAACGCCAGTCATTCTGGTCACCCACTACCCATTTCGCTAAACCCAATGATGACCTCCGCAGAATCCAGCACAGGCGCCCCTCCCTCCTGGAAACTTTTCTCCTGGCTTTACCAACACCCTGCAGACTTCCCTCTTGCCCCACCTGCCCCTCTTTCTCCTCTCCCCTCCTGGCCCTTCTTCTCCTGCCTGACCTCTAAATGCTGACACACCCCAGGGCTGAAGCCTGGGCCCTCTTCCCTTACTTTCTATGCAGCTTAAACTTTTTATTTCCAGCAGTGAACTCCAAACTCGTCCACCCAACTGCTGACTTGAATTTCCATTTCATACAACACATCCAACACAGAACGCTTTTGTCTCCCAAAGCTTCTTCCTTTTTATTATTATGCAAAATTTCAAACATATACAAAACCAGTAAAAATAGGATAAGGAACTTTCATGAACTCATGCTCCAAAGTCAACATGGTATGAGTTGATAAAACTCATGGCCAATCTTGTTTTATCTGTAACTCCATCCACTTCCCATCCTCCTACCCCAGGTTATCCCAAGTTGAGCTCTTTACTTCCCCTCCTCCACGCTTGGTCCTCCGTGTCAGCAAATACATGGCACCATCATCATCTATCCAGAGTTCAAATCCCAAAGCCAGAAATCCCTTGGTTTCCTCTCCTCTCACTAACTGCACCTTCACCTCAATTTGTAAATCCCATTAGCCTTTCCTCTGTCCCAGATCCACCCACTGCTCTCTGACCCCATCACTACCAGGCTACTCTAAGCCACATCATCTCTCCAGGGACTCTGTCAGTAGCCTCCAACCTGGTGTCAAAGCACAGCAAAAACCCAGTGCTCTATCAAGCAAATAGGCGACCCATTAAAATGTAAATCACCTGTCATTTCCCTGCTTAAAACCCTCCCTCACCCTTAGAACAAAATCCCAACGCCTTATCCAAGCCCACAGCTGTTTATACAACCTGGGCCCTGCCTACCCCTCCTCCTACCACCTTCCTCTGAATAGGCCAAGCAAGTCCCTGCCTCAAAGCTTGGCTCCTGCCAGTCCCTCTGCCAGTAATGCTGTGCACCTGACTGGCTCCTTTCTGTATTCAAGTCTCGGCTCAAATACAGTGGGGCCTTGACTTACGAGTGTCCCGACTAACGAGTTTTTTGAGATACTAGCTGTCTCTTGGCCGACTTTTTGCATTGAGTTGATAGAGTACTTTGAGTTAATGAGTGAGTTAATGAGCTCCTTAACGAGCTTGGTCTCGGAACGAATTAAACTTGTAAGTCAAGGCCCCACTGTAGTACCATTTAAAATAGCACCCTGACTCCAGCCATTAGCCTGGTTCACTTCCTTCATTGTTGTGGGAACCCTGATCAGAGTACGCTGGATGTTCAAGGCTAATTTGAGTGTGGGGGCCCTGTCCAGAGTATGCCGGATGCTCAAGGCCAATTTGCCATATGCAGGTACAAAAGTAAGGTCACAGCAATTATACTGTACACAATGCGCAGGCGTGCCTTTCTGTATCCCAAGTATTGATGTCACTATTTGGCAAGAAGCCTCTTTTGTCTAAGTTGGTATAAAGATGTGCTGTTGACCAGCCAATGCATGGATGCTTAGTATGGCTCCTATGTTTGCTACTGTATTAGCAAGGGCTGCTTTGTGCGGCTACGTTGTAAGGCTACTTTGAAGGACTACTTTATGTGATGGCTCCTTGTTAGCTACTTGCTCTGCAATAAAGACTCTCTTATATGCCTATGACTTCTCCTATCTTCTCTGTCCAATACCCAGCATCCATGAAGGTCCAGTCTCTGGCAGAGGGGCTCGGACCCAACAGTTGGCATAGTTGGGCTGGATAAAGGAGTAAGTACTCCCAACAACTGGCACAGCGAGGAGGTTCAGGAGAATGTGCAGACTCAGGAGCAAGTGCTCCTGACAACTGGCGTCATGAACAGGATCAAGGAGAAACTTACTCTGACAATTGGCGCAGCAAGCAGGGTGAGCAGAGTTCAAGAGTAAGTACTCCAACAATAGTGTATGACACCTGACATTCTCTGGTTTATCTGCACCAGGATGAAGCTCCATATACAATAGGGGCTTTACCTGCCTCATGCACTGCTGAGTCCCCTGCACCTACAACGGGCTGGCAGACAGCAGGCACTTGACACATGTCTGCTGAATTTAAAATAAAATACTTCCTCTGACTGGGCCCCCTGGGGGGAAAAAATCTTGCCTCTTAGGTCACTTAAATTATTGAAACGCACCAATACTATACATTTAGACATGAACAAGTTAAGTTCTGGGCATAGTTAAGAAGCAGTAGCATAGGCAAAATTCTTTCATTACCAAACTCTCCCATCAAATTGATGAACAGAGTACATCTTGCTCAGTGGGCCTAGGCACAGAGCTAGGCACAGAGTGACCCCTCCAGTGAAAACTTAGTTTTGCCTGAACAATCCTTATTGCATTACAGTATTTCTACTCTTATCTTTTTGACATTTCTAAGGCTACCCAGACTGCTTATTCTTTGATCCTTGAGGAAAAACTGTGAGTTCAACACAAATAGTCAAATGCCATTCAATTCAAGAGCTCAGTTTCCTGCATCAGCATGACTCAGACTGGTTACTTTATAGCCTAAAGAAAGAAGCATCAACATCATAATATGCTCATTCAATAAGTTCTCTATAGGGAACCCAATGTCTAGTAAGGAAAGGACATTTCTGGGTGGGTGAGTGGTCCATTCTTCACCCACCCAGGAGGAGCAGCAAGGTCCTTTGGCTTAAGAATCACAGACTTGTGCTGCAGCTTCCCTCTGGCCCTAGGAGAAGCCATTGGTTATCTCCTAGGCTCTGCTTCCTCTTTTGTAAAATGCAGATGCCAGCCTATCCTTAGGCTACCTCACAGACTTGAAATGAAGAGCAAATGGCATATGGGGAGTTTTGTAAAGTATACTTGCAATTCAAATTAAAGACAAGAGTGGTAGACGAGACCATGTGGTGGGCCAGTTCTATTATGGCCCAACATTTCAACAAGTCCAAGATCAGACTGGCTCACCCCTGATGACCTTATACTGCTGAGGCTATACATCTAGCTTTATCCAGCTCCTCCCAGCTCCCAGCTCTCATTCTGTTTGGGAAAGAAGGGGAAATTAGAAATAGAAGGAAAAGAGTTGCAATTGGAAAATTCTTCCGCCAAGGTTTTGAAATTAGCCCTATACTTTCTGACTTTTCAACTTTAAAATTCTCAACTTTTCAATTGCAGGATTAGAGTTTACATTAATCTTCGTAAACTTGGCTCAAAATAACCCCCTCACCAAAAGTCTCAATAATTTTGTCCTGTAAATTTCTGAAACGGCTATCCTAATTCAGAGATTGGCAAACTATGACCCACACACCATATCTGGGTCTTCTGATAAAGAACACTGTATTTGATCCCAGCCACACCGATTTGTTATGTGTTGTTTATGGCTGTTTTCACACTGTAGAGGCAGAGTTTTCTAGTTGGGGCTAAAACTGGCCCATGAAGCTGAAGACTATCTGACCCTTTACAGAAAACCTGCCTAATTCTGCTCTAGTTCTACCTGCCTCAAAATATAACAGAACAGAGCATAGCCCAAGACTGTTAACCCACTTTTTCTTCTTCAAAACTGGCAAGGTTTCGCTTTTTAAAAAAGAAATTCTAACAAATCTCACATTTACAGAATCAGCATTTTTTTGTGTGTTGGATAAACCTAGAAAAGGTATTTTCAGATTTATCATCAGTGGGAAAAGTGTATTGTCCCACACATCCATATCTATTATGCTGAACTAATTTTACATAGGCTTCTCAGGAAAACATTGAATTCACAAGCATACCGCTCTCAGTCCCAAAGCAATTTTCTGAAAAGAAAACCAGCCTGAAAAGTGGAGCCTAAACAATATTCTATTACATCAAAGAGCACCCAACTATGTCTTCTAAAATTTCAACTACTGCAACAATACAATTTCTGACCTTGCTTATGAAAGTGTATAAATCCTTCCTTATATTAAATATTTTTAACTTAGAACACTAAGCTAAATATATCCAAATAAAGAATCACTCAAAAAGCAAAACATATATCCAATTTAAGTTTTTAAAAGAAAATGTGGTTACTCACTGAGGTAAAGGGTGAGGATCCTTATTTCCCAGCCCTGACCCCTTCAGGTGGTAGATTAGCTTTCTCTAGTTTGAATATGGTAGGGAAAGGTCAGCCCATGTAATAAGAGCTCGTCCACCTTCCTTTCTCAGATGTTAGTGTGTTCTCCCTTGATGAAATAAGTTGTTCTAAAGTAGGGATAAGAACAAGGACTTTGAGACATGGTGTCAAACATAAATAAGAAAGAAAAAGGAAAGGTAAGCTATTCATAAGATGTGGGCTCTAAAAGAAGTTCTAGCCCTAAAATATAAACCTATGCATCATACTTGTGAGGATAGTTCCCTCAATTGCTGCTATAATATTTCCTTCATCAAAAAATTAATCTATTCATCCCAAGTTTAAAGGGAAAAATTTGAGTATTTCACTATCATTTTTTCGAATCAGTTGTCACATGGCCTGTTCAGAAAAGTTCTAAACAGAAAAATTACCAACTTTCCCTGACTATCCTTCGAAGGGATAGAGCTTATCTAGTACCTTCTCCATAAGCCAGTCTTAACTGTGTGCAAACCATCCTGCCTAGGAAAGCCTGCTACAGCCCAAAGATACCAACCTCCTGTCGAAGGGCATTTGCCGTTCTCTCCAAGTGATCAGTTTTCCTTTTGGATTTCATTATGCTGTAACAGAGAGTCAAATTGGGTTAGTAAGCTAAATATTATCCTCATAAGAAAGAATTAAATTCGTTTGCCCTGTAATACCATGACTATCCAAAATACAATATAACATTCTGGGTCCTAGAAAATGGTCTATAAAAATTTGTACATCTAACTAAAGTTTAACGATTTACTGATGCCATGCACATTTAAGCAGTCTGTTATGTCATGGCTTCAGGAGTTTGATATGCCTCCCATGACCATCGCAGGTCAGGTCTCTTTGAAAATCAACCTCAAATGACACTGAAGGTCGATAACTCACCCGGTTAGCGTAAGGTGGCGCAGAGCGCCTCGTGTCGATTTCAACAAAGCAGCCTGGGAGCAGATGGCTCCCACAGAGCCTCGAAACAACCCAGGAACCAAGACAGCAGCGCAGGCCATGGTGCTTCCTGGGCAAACAGAACACTGAAAATTAAAAATGTTAAGAAAAAGTGGGGAGTCTTTAGGGGCCAATGAAGAAGAGTTTACATTTTTGTTGGTGCTGTTATGAGCTGATCTAATGGCAAAACAATTAAGGGCCTCGTTCACCCTGACAAAATTTCTGCCACTATTCAGAGTTGATTCAACTGATCTCCACAATACATACGAACGCAATTATTGGTGCCACCAAATATTCATGTTCCCTATTAGTTTCCAAAATCTCTGACCAAGTTCACGTGACTAATCTTACACCATTACAGGGGAGTAGATTTGCTAACTGCCTGATAATTGTAGTCCAATCAAAGAGCACCACTAAGTCTTTAATGTTTCTTGTTAGATGAAGTGCAGGGAGAAACAAACTGAGGTCCACAGCACTGAGAATAAACAAACTGCAACTACATGAGGTAAGAGATGAATATTACAAACATCAAAGTGAATGAAAAGAATGAAAGCAGCCACTCAAAAGAGCACACAGTCTGTGGGTCCAGTAATATAAAGTACAGAAACAGACAAAATTAATCCATGAAGCTAGAGATCAAGTTAGTAGTTACCCTTGGGGAAGCAGTAGTGATAATGTCATCTCTTAATCTGAATGATGATTGCATGGGTGTTCTCATTTTGTAAAAATTCCATCAAACCACGGAGGACTTTTAGGGCAGTAAAAACACTCTGTATACCATAATGCTAAATATATATCATTATATATATTATACATTTGTCCAAATCCATAGAACATACAACACCAAGAGTGACCCATAATGTAAACTATGGACTCTGAGTGATAATGATGTGTCAATGTGGGTTCACCAACTGGAACTACAATACCACTCTAGCGGGAGATGTTAATAATGGGGGATTGTTGATAATGGAGGAGGCTATGCTTGTGTAAGGGCAAGGGGTATATGGGAAATCTCTGTACTTCCCCCCAATTTTGCTTTGAACTTAAAACTATTGTAAAAAATTATCTTAATAAAAAAATTTAATCAAGCTGTCCTCTTAGGATTTATGTACTTTTCTGTTTGTAAGTTATATGTGAATAAAAAGTTTAAAAGAACAAAAACCCAGAAGGATCCCCAACATTTCCATGTCTAAAAACTACTGACCTATCAAGAAAAGTACTGAGTGGGAGTCAGATGATGTATTTTTTTTATGTATTCTGCTTTCCTTAGCCAATTTTTAAATATTTCTTTGACTAAGATGGCCACTTTTAACACATTATATTGCCTATCTTAGCTTGGGAATAAATAAAGATGTACATGAACACTTTTTTTTCTAAGCTCTCTGGAAAGCACTACATAAATTAATTGTAATACATTTAGTGTTAGAAAAATATTCAAGCTAGATGTGCTTATGTTCCTACTCCATACTCACTAATTCAACCCTTCATTTGACAAATATTTATTAAGAGCCCATTATGTGGCAGGCACTGGGAATACACACATGAACAAAACAAAGGCTTTCTTAGGGAGCTAATATTTTAAAAGGTAGAGACAAAAAATAGACAAAAGTAAATAAATCAGGTGGTGATGTAAGTCATAGGTAATTTATTCAGTTAGGTTATTCAGTTATAACCAAATCGTATACAAGAGCCACTGCTTCATAACCAATCTTTAGATAAGGTAAAAGATCTATTTCTTGCCATAGTATGATACAGCATCATTGTGGATAAATAATGCTACTTGCTATTTTTTCTTTTGCATAAATGAAAAAAGTATAATGCCTCTTTACCTCATGCAAAACTACTAAATGTAGTTTCCTTTAAATATGCTAAACCAAAAATGCTGTTAATCTCTGAAAGAAAGAAACTTACTTTAGAAGTCCATGAGACTTTTAGGAGTCATTAAGTATATGGCTGGCCGGCTGACGGATATGCAGTATTTTGGTCCTGGTATTATACTGAGACCTTCGGATATACACTGGTTGGAACCCAGACCAATGTTTCCACACACTGAAATTCTCTCACAAAGCTCCTGCAATGACAGAGACAACGTAGAAGAACAATGTTTTGGACAACTGTTAAAAAGAACTACTATCTCCTATTGCAAACGAAAAGGCTCATTATAATCAGCAGGCATCGCCTCACAGTAAAACTACTCTCAATTTCCCCCCTTCCATCAAGTCTTCCTCTCATCTTTCTGTTTTTCTTTTTTATGATTGTTTTTTTCCTCTTTTCTGATTCCACCCTATGAAAGCCCAGGCCAATGGCTGGAATGATACAGTTAGTGTCATGTAAGGCCAAGTTCCCTAATAAAATTTAATAGATTCATAGTTTAATATGAAAACATTGTTCTGCTCAGGACAATTATAGCTAAAATAGTCCTCACATAGATACAGCTTTTAGTGATTATGCTGTTTGAATGGTCTGCTGCTCAAATGAACTGGAAAACAAAGACATGTTAATTTTTAAAAGCTGTTCTCTTTAAAATTCTAAAATCTTGTTTTATAATAATACCAATGACCAAGAGTGCCACCTACTGGTAAATACAGAGTATTTTTTTTATCAAATTGTGTTCAAAGGGACTTCCAAAGCAATAAGGTATTTTTTTTAAAAAACTACCTATTCTGAGAACCAAGATGGCAGCATAGGGAAATGCCTGTACTTGCTGCCTCCCACAACCACATCAAAACTACAACCAAAAAACAAAACATATCATCCAGAACCACGAGAAGTCTGGCTGAGTGGAAGTCCAACAACTGGAGGGAAAGAAAAAAGCGCATCTCGACTGGTAGGAGGTGCAGAGGTGCAGAAGAGCAAAGGTACGGAGGCGCGCTAAACGGGCTGGCAACTGGGTACGCTGTTGTCTTTTTCAATTGGGGGGGGGGAGGAGATACAAACTCCCGACTGCTCTGAAATCCAGTTCCAGGCAAGACTCTGGGGACCCAGACTCCTATGGGGAGAAACTGGACTGTCTGGCATCGGGCCGGAACACGAGGGCGGCTTTCTCGCAGAGGTGCTTGCAGCGGTCATTATTCCTACACAGGGCCACAGGACACAGAGACCCAGGGACCTATTGTGGCAGGGCTGACAGGCAACCATTGCTGTTTGCACTGCCCCAGTGATTCCCTGAGACCACGCCCCACCCAATTTACAACCCCACCCAAGCTGTGCGAAGAGGCTTTTGCATATGAATGGCCTGGCCTTTTGCAACCTAACAAACTGCAGCTGGGTCAAAGAACCCCAGAGCTTCCAAAAGAAGGCCTAAGGCTCCTCAGCAGCCTGCACTGCTTCACAGCTCCACCTCATCTGGGCACCTCCAAACCCCATACAAAGAGGAGGAATCTGCAGATCTCTCTGTAGCTCCTGCTGGGTGGCCTCAGGCAGTGGCTGACTTTGTACCTCCTTGGAAATCCAAGAGCCAGTGTACGCAGTGGTCAAAGCGAAACCACCAGATTACAAATCTTCACATCCATAAGTGCCACACTCAGGGGGCAGACTCAGTGAGCACCAAAGCCCCACTGAAGCCAGTCCTGCCCCATAAGGCTGTTTCCAGCACAGCAGTTCTCCCATTGTAGACACAACTGGTCCTCACAGCCAATTGGTCTGGAGGTCAATTCCTCCCAGTGATATCAACAGCAATAAAGGCTAAACTCAACAAGACTGTGCACACAGCCCACAGAGGGGTGCACCAAGAACATTCACCTCAGGTGACCGGGGAGGCTGAACCTATAGGACTCCTAGCACACAAAGCCACTCTATCAACACAGGGATGCAGCCAAAATGCGGAGACAAAGAAACATGTCACAAATGAAAGAAATGGAGGAAAGCAAACTACTGGATATAGAGTTCAAAACCACGGTTATAAGGTTACTCAAGAATCTTCTAGAAACCTCCAAGAAATTTAGTGAGATGAAAAAGGACCAATTAGAAATTAAGCAAACACTGACTGAAATAAAGAATAATATACAGAGATCCAACAGCAGACTAGAGTATCCCAAGAATCATGTCAAAGATTTGAAATATGAAGAAGCAAAAAACATCCAACCGGAAAAGCAAAAAGAAAAAAGAATCCAAAAATATGAAGATAGTGTAAGTAACCTCTGGGACAACTTCAAGTGTACCAACATCCAAATTATGGGGGTGCCAGAAGAACAGAGAGAGAGCAAGATATTGAAAACCTATTTGAAGAAATAATGGCAGAAAACTTCCCCTACCTGGTGAAAGAAATAGACTTACAAGTCCGGGAAGCACAGAGAACCCCAAACAAAAGGAATCCAAAGAGGACCACACCAAGACACATCATAATTAAAATGCCAAAGGCAAAAGACAAAGAGAGAATCTTAAAAGTAGCAGGAGAAAAACAGTTAGTTACCTACAAGGGAGTACCCAAACGACTGTCAACTGATTTCTCAACAGAAACTATGCAGGCCAGAAGGGAGTGGCAAGAAATATTCAAAGTGATGAATAGCAAGAACCTACAACCAAGATTACTTTACCCAGCAAAGCTATCATTCAGAATTGAAGGTCAGATAAAGAGCTTCACAGAAAAGACAAAGCTAAAGGAGTTCATCACCACCAAACCAGTATTATATGAAATGCTGAAAGGTATCCTTTAACAAGAGGAAGAAGAAAAAGGTAATGATACAAATTATGAACAACAAATACACATCTATCAACAAGTGTATCGAAAAATCAAGTGAATAAATAATCTGATGAACAGAATAAACTGGTGAATATAATAGAATCAGGGGCATAGAAAGGGAGTGGACTGACTATTCTGGGGGGGGGGGGAAGGGGGTGTGGGGGGTGTGGGAAGAGACTGGACAAAAATCATACACCTATGGATGAGGACAGTGGGGGTGGGGGGTAAGGGCAGAGGGTGGGGTGGGAACCGGGTGGAGGGGAGCTATGGGGGGAAAAAAGAGGAACAGCTGTAATAATCTGAACAATAAAGATTTAATTTAAAAAAAATTACTGCAAGCAGCAGAGTAAAGATTTAAAATGACTGTGCTGGTTTCTGTTCAGTAAGTATACTCAATTTATTAAACAATTACTGGGGTGCCAGGTACTACATTAGGCCATAGAAATGCAATAAAGAACCAGACACAAGGTCCTCACCATCTTGAAGCTTTTATTACAGTGTGTGTGACAGATAATAGTAAAGGGATAACTGATGAGACAATTACTGATTACAATGAGTAAGATAAAAGAAATGAGTATCTCAGTTGGTTAGAGTGTCATCCCGATATACCAAGATTGCATTAATAAGTGGAACCAATGAATGCATTAAGTGGAACAACAAATCAATGTTGTTTTTTCCCTCTCTCCTTTCCTCTCTCTCTAAGCAAAAATAAATAAATAAGTGGAGTGGAGTGGGTGGGGGAATATCAGGAAAGGTCTCTCTCAAGAGACATGAGCTGAAACCTGAATGATGAGGAAGAAGCAGTCAAGCAGATGTTAAGAGCAGAGCACTTGGGCAGAGGCCCAATCACAGTCACACCAGTGTGTTAAGGAACCACAAGCCAGCGTGACTGAGGAGCTGTGAGCTAGGTGAGCATGATGTGAGATGAAGTCAAGCAGACAGACGTGCCAGATCACATCAGGCTACAGTAAAGGTATGAACTTTATTTAAGGGCAATGGGAAGCAACTGAATAGTTTGAATAAACCAGGAGAGGGATACGATCAAATTTACATCAAGGACTGCTCAGGCTGCTGTGTGAAGAACTGATCATAGAGGGGCAAGAGTTGAAGCAGGAAGTCAAGTTAGAAGGCTCTAGTGTAGGATTAAGCTACAAAGATGGCAAAAGTAGATACACATGGAATATATTTTAGAATTAAAGTCCTAAGACTTGTTGATAGTTTGAGTGGATGAAGAGAGCAGTGAGAGAAAGAGAAAAACCAAGAGCGCCTCAAAGATCATTAATGCACTGAAATAAAGTAAATTCATAGAAATATCATGGTATCCGTTGATTTAGAATCCTAGGTGCCACTGAAGAAGCAAAGGGGTTCTTGGCATTTGGCATTTGCTAAGTGAACCTAGTGGCATACAAGTTATTTCAAGAGTACTTGACTTGGAATCCATGGAACTGGGCTCAGATCTGACTCCTTCCTGCTTTTTGATCTTGGGCCAGTCACCTCTTACCATTTTTAAATGGGAATGCCAACGTCACTTCATTGGATTGCTGAGAGAAATAAATTTCTATGGGAAGTACCTGGCAAGCAGGAGTATTACAAAAAAAGAAGCCAAATTCATTACCCCCCTCCCCACCCCACTCCCACCCCCCACCAAATAATCTCCAGAGGTAGTGGTTTGAAACTGCTAACAAACAATTCCCTTTAGCCTGATAATACAACAGGCACTCATAAAATAATAGTTTCTATGACACAATTATGACTTATTTCTAAGTCTGATCTTATGTTAAGAATTTTGATCACTGCTATTTTCCAGATCAGTAGTGTTAACATTTAAAAATTAAAAAATTTTTTTCAGCCATAAATGATCCTACAGCAACTAGTAAGTCTGCTTTTGTCATGCCTTCGGGGTCCAAAAATGTCTCATAACAGAATATTTTCATTACCTTTTAAGGATAAATATAAAGTTTAAGAGTCATTGTAATTTTTATTTTAAAATGCTGTGGGGATTTTTAAAAAATGACATCACATATTTGGCTAAGGTTTTATTTTCTTCAGCACAGTATGAACTCAAAACTGGGAACCAGCACTGCTCTAGTGAAAATCTCAGCAATCTGAAGAGCTTCAGGGCCATTTGTTTAATCTAGCTCTGCTTCAACACCATCATATCACAGATGACACTGAAGTTACGAAATGCCTAAGTTCTGGGGTCAGACAGATCTGAGTTCTCACCACAGCTACTGCCACTTACAGCTTTGCCTACTTAGGCAAGTCTCCTTAGCCCTTAAACCTCGTTTCCCAACGTTGAAGATGGGATTAATACCTATACCTCATTGGACTGTTATAATGGTACTAGAGGCTCGGTGCACGGGCACCAGTGGGGTCCCTAGGCCTGCCCCGCGGGGATCGGCCGAAATCGGCTCTCCGACATCCCCCGAGGAGTCCTGGATGGCAAGAGGGTGGTTCTCGGGTAACACACCCCGCAAACGGGCTCCCTCCTCTCTGGTTCCTGGTGCATCACCCAAGAACCGCAGCTGCCAAGTCACCGCAGCTGGGCAGCTCCTGCGTTGAGCGTCTTGCCCACTGGCGGTCATTGTGCATCATAGCTACCAGCCGGTCAGCCGGTCGGCAGTCGCTTAGGCTTTTTGGTACAGTGCCTGGCACATAGTGTCAATTATTATTAAGTGTTTCATTAGTTTTTCTTCTTCCATTGTAGGTAATACATACTTGAAGAAAAGTTGGAAAATTACAAAGAAATTAATATTTTTAAACCCCTGTAACTTTTACAACTACTAACCTCAGATTTGAAGATTCCCCAGATAATTGTTTTTGATAGATACAAATTGCTTTCTAAAAGGTCTACTGATTGATACTTCCATAAAACAGGTATGAACGACTGCACTCATTGGTGTACATTCAAAAATGGCTCATCTTTAATTTTTAGGTACTTATTCTCAGAAGCACTGAAGAAGGAAGGATGGTTCCCAACCTCAAAATGTTCACGGAGACTACCGAATAAGACACTGGAGATTCTCCTGTGGCCTCCTGTCCCCAAGAGGCTACTTGGAAGTATCTGGTCTACGGAGATACACGGAGCAGCCCCTGGGCCGCGCGCTTGGCTGGAATTTCTCCTTTGCTCAGACAGAGCAGAATCATCTCAGTTAACCCATGAAAGGTTTGAAGATGTCTCCTAACTTCTGGGTCAATCTTCAGTTATGCAAAGTGGACTATTTGTGAGGCATTTGAAATAATCTACTATAACTCCTTTAATGTAATTTCCAGATTTTCTCCTAAAGATTTCTCTGCCTCTAGATTTTCAAGCCTTGAAAGGGCTAACCCAGGTGAAACTTCACTTCTGTGCACAAAACTGGAAGCTTCATGTAAACATTTGAGTGTGTATACATAAATATGCATAGGGATGTGTACATATGTATTACGTGAAAATTAAGTATGGTACATATGACATGTGATTGCTGAACCAATTAAACTCATACACAGAAGTAGAATGTTAGATCTGAAAGGGACCTTGTAGATCATCTCTAACCCAACCTTTTTTAGTCAGAAGAAGAAATAAGGCTCAAAGAATATAAGTATCCAGTTCCCAGTGCTACAACAGTCAAATTCTGGACCCAGATCAGCTTCCCCATAGCGCCTTTTTCACGGCGCTGCAGTCCTTTTCTATCAAGACTTGATTTTCTATCTAGTAATGAAACACTACCCCATAAATCAGTTGTACCAAAACAGGCACTAGCACCGTTTCCAAGGCAAAGCACCTTTTATTTGCATTTCGCTTCAAATATAAAGAGGCCTCAAGGTAGTAGTAACTCTGCTGATGCCACCCATTCCTTTTACAAAGAAGAAACTGTGGTTCACAGAAGTTATGTGTCCCCAGGCTTTGGGGACAGATAGGTTCTTCATTTCCTAAGTGTATGACTTTGGTCAAAACACCCAACTCTCTGTATCCCAGTATGAAGATTAATAATATGGCATAACATCTAAACTCCCAAGGTTGGTGGAAGAACTATACTTAGCGCAATACCGGGCACAAAGCGAACTCTCCGTAATAAAAGGTTATTACTGTTATTATAAACCATTATAGTAAATAATGTCATATGCTTGGCAAACACAGAACTAGAACTCCACCTGCCTCCCAGGTCTTGGTCCTTTCAGCAACACCAATTTCGGGCATTTGACGATAATCTGGGGTGATGAACAAACGGGGCTATACCTGAACAGCCAAGAGCAGCCACGAACTACAAGCGAGGCGTCACCTAGAGCGCAAGGTCACCCGGCGAATCGAAATTCCAAGGGAGCCTTTCGTCGGTCGCCGGGAAGGCACAGAGATCCAGAAGGCGGAGCGGCTCCCGCCGCCGAAGACCAGGCGAGGCTGCGGTCCTTCCCCCAGGGGCGCCGAGGGCCCAGACTGTGCTACCCCGGCCTGCTGCGGCCTTCAGCGGGGGCTGGTTACGGCCTAAGGTCCAGGGACACGAGGCCGGCAACCACAGCCCGGCAGCAAGGTGGCTCCGCGCCGCCGGCACTGCCGGCACCGATCTTCCAGAAAAGAGCCAAACTCCGCCGGGGCCAGGAAGCTTCCGGTGTCCCCGACGTGACGTAGCAGCAGCGCGCGCGATCCTCACATGCTATTGGTCACTTCTTCCGTCCAATGGGCGGAGCGGTACCCGACACCACTGAGCAGCCAGCAAGCTCTTGCACTGTCTCCTTGGGCAGTTCAGCCATCTCCATGGTGACCAGTCCCGGGTCACCCATTTGGCTTCCAAGCCCGCCGTTGCGTCATTGTTAGGCGCCGGAAGCGATCGTTCCTGCGCCGGGGCGTGGTGGCTGACACCCGGCTGGGGCCGGCGTCCTCGAAGTTAGACCCACCCGGGTCGGCTTCGGCCGGTGGGGGCCCCTATCAGGCCCCAGAACAATGGCGGTGTTTCACGACGAGGTGGAAATCGAGGACTTCCAATATGACGAGGACCTGGAGACGTATTTCTACCCCTGCCCTTGTGGCGATAACTTCTGCATCACTAAGGTAACCTCAGGTCTCCCGGCCCCTCCCTGGAGCAGGCGCGTTTCGCTCTACGGATTCTTCCGCCGCCCCGTAGCCCACGCGGCTCTTGTTATTCACGCCCTTTTTTCCTGTGTATGGATCCCCCAAATTTATAGTCTCAGCTGTCAGTGGGCATTTCCTTCTGGCCTTTAGTCAGGCCTAGTGGGGGAGGGGGAGGGAGGGGCTGGATGGCGGGGAGCATCAGACTTCTCGCCATTCCCCCCACTTAGCATCCCTCTTTGGGTTCACCTTCCTGGGATACTGCTTGCAGGAAGGGACGCGTTTTGTCTTCCCAGAGATTTTGAGGCGACTGAACCTTAACCAACCTTCCGGAGTATTTCCCCGGGTGACGCGGCCAGGGAAAATTGGGGTTGGCATTTCTCTGGGAAAGCCTCTTTGACCCTCACCTACCTTGTGGGGGAGGCAAGTCACGAAGGAGCTTGCCCCTAGGGGTGTGAAGGCTTGGGAGGAGTTTGCAAAGGGAAGGCGATGCTGATCATACAGTGTTTGATTTTGTTGTAGGAAGATTTGGAGAACGGGGAAGACGTGGCGACGTGTCCGAGCTGCTCTCTCATTATAAAAGTGATTTATGACAAAGTAAGGAGTCAAACTTTAAAAGATGGGGAAGAGGGGGAGGGTTGTGGTGCAAGAACCTTGAGCAGCCTGTCTGTAATTTAGGCTATAATTAGAAGTTTACGGATTATTCTTGTATTAAAATGTGTTCTGGAACAAAAAGAACAGGGTAAGTGAGATCAGGAGTGCTGGTATGAGATCGTGGCAGGCCTTATTGAGCAGAGATTGAACGTGGTAAGGGAGTGAGCTCTGTACACATTAGGGTTGAGAGCGGTTGGCAAAGGGAACGTTCAGTGAAGAAAAGGCAGAAACATGTTTGGTTTTATCAAGGAACAGCAAGGAGGCCAGTGTGATCAGAGCAGAGTAAGAGGGTGGGACTTGTCCAAGATGAATTAGTGCAGTGAGGCCGATCACAGAGGTGTTGTGGGACACTCTAAGGCAGCGGTTCTCAACCTGTGGGTCGCGACCCCCTTGGGGGTCGAATAACCCTTTCACAGGGGTCGCCTAAGACCATCGGAAAACACATATATAATTACATATCGTTTTTGTGATTAATCACTATGCTTTAATTATGTTCAGTTTGTAACAATGAAATTGGGGTCACCACAACATGAGGAACTGTATTAAAGGGTCGCGGCATTAGGAAGGTTGAGAACCACTGCTCTAAGGACTTTGGCTTTTCCTATGAGTGATAGAGGGAACCAATGGAGGATTTTAGAACAAAGAAATGCCATGAACCAACTCAAGTTTTAAAACATGTTCCGGCTGCTTAATTCAGAGTAGACTACATAGGAGCAAGGATAGAGACAGGAAAACCAGGTTGGAGGCTGTTAGACTAATCAAAGGAGGGGATGTTTCCCTGGGACCAAGCTGCAGCAATGGAGGTAGTGGGAGTGGTTGGATTCTGGATACATTTTAAAGGGTAAGGATTTTTTGTTCTGTTAATTCTCACCTGAGGATATTTTTCCCATTGCCTTTCAGAGAGAGAGGAAAGGAGGGAAGAGGAGAGAGAGAAAGAGAAACATCAATGTGATAGAGACACATCAGCTGGTTGCCTCCTGCACACGCCCCAACCTGGGAGAGGGGAGGGAACCCACAACCCTTCAGTGCTCAGGCTAATGCTCTAACCCTTGAGCAACACTGGCCAGGGCAAGGATCGATTCCTTACTGACTGGATATAGGATATAAGAGGAGTCAAGAATGATTTCAACATTTGTGGCCTTCAGAACAGGTTTAGGGGCAGGAGTTGGACATACTGTGTTTGAGAGGTCTGTTTTTCATCCAAGTAGAGCTGGCCAGAAGGCAGTTGGATATATAAGTATGGAGTTCAAAGAGTGATTAATTGGCGCTATAAATTTGAGAGTTATCAGCATATAGCCTTTTAGTTGGAAGAAGTAATAATTTTGAAGAAAACAGACATTTGAATAGCCAAATATTGAAGTGGAGAACTTTTAGTGTAAGTACTAATTAATACAAAAACTTAAAAGGTGTGGCAATGTCTTTATAAATGTGATTTCTTTTGTTTACAAGATAAGGTATTTTATATTAAATATGAATTCATGACTAAAAACAGATTCAGTTCTAAGCTTATAAATCTGGTGCTGACATTGACTCTTTGAACAAGGATGAAGTGATGGAAAAACTTAGAGCTGGATTGATTCTGTAACAAGATGAAAATTTACTGTTGATGCATTTGTGACACACTCAGTGGTTAAGGTAATTTTCTGTTTGTTCTTAGGAGCAGTTTATGTGTGGAGAAACAGTCCCAGCCCCTTCCACCAACAAAGAATTAGTTAAATGCTAAACAAGGACTTCCGGGATCCAAATCCTGAACATTCAGGAATGAGCCAAGCTGGAAAAATCAAAGGCAAAGTTCCTGGCTTCCTCATGGGACAACTGCTTTGTAGTTTGCTGCTGTGGATTCTTTCTATCTGCTCCGAGTTCATCTCCAATTAAAGAAGCAGGTCCATGACATGACATACCTGGATTTCATGCTTAGAACTTTGAATTGGAAAAAGTGTTCTTTATTTTCCACATGAATTTAAAGGAAGATCATTTCAAGTCAGTGCTTTCATTCCCTCAGTCTTGTTATTTTTATCTTATACCTAATTTATTATCTGATAACATCATCTACCTCAAAGTCATTAGGATTCCTTCTTTTAAAACAGGATTTTATTTTTTTAATTGGTTATTAGGATTAGTAAAATTAGGCCTTTTTGAAGTTGACATCAGGTTTGGTATTCTCACTTAAGAAAATGAGTTGCCTTGTCAGTACTACTGTGATGTTCCCACTCCAAACCAGTCTTCTGGGTCCGGCCATTAACAGAATGTTCCTGTTCTGTTAGGCACGTCTTTTCCATTGTACTTCATGCTCTGAGTTCTGGTCATGGTATTATAGAGATAACATAATAAGCTCACAGTTTTTTTTCCAGAGCTAAAAGTTAGAGAGAAAGAAAAGTCAAAAAGTGAAATAGTCAGAATATGGAGTTTCCTTGTCAGTGTTCTGCTTGTTCCTTGAAAATCGGTAGAAGACAAAAAAGGAAAACAGCCCAGGATGTGAAATTGGCAACAGAATGACGGGAGAAAAACAAGGCAGCTCAGTAAATTAAATGCTTGAATGTTGTCGCCAGATAGAGCAAATAATATTTCTGTATCTGGGTTCTTGTTTGTTTGTTACTTGTAGACATGGTTACTACAAGTGCATTCTAGATAGGGGTTAATGTCAAGTCTGCATGGCTGGCGGCAGAACATTTAGCATTCCCGCAGAATCAAGTCACTACTTCTAAAGGTGGAGCTTTCACAGCTTTTATAGTTGCTGAGGAAGAACTTGAAAATGAGATGCCTGTTCTCAATAAGTATGCCCCTAAGAGCACATCTAATAAGCCTCTACACGTTGCAACCAAACCAAACATTCACTCTTACAGAGAAATGTTGCCCTGGAGAAAAAGAAATATGCAGAGATAGGCTCTCAGTCTTCCTTCGCTGCAGTGCTGAGAGTGGCAAGAAATTAGAATCACTTACATGCAAATTCAGAAATTCTCTTTATATACACAATTTTGCTATGTGTATAAAGTTTAAAAAAAAAACAAAAAACCAAACACTGATGTCTGGCAGATTGTGTGGGGAATGGCTCCTACAAGTAAAGAGAAAAATCCCTGCCAGAATGTAAACATTGTATTATTGGTTGATAAACATGCTACACACACTCATTGGGATTTAGAACGAGTGGCCTTTTTTTTTTTCTTTGCCAGCCAGCAGCATGGCCATGTGTAGCCATTAGCTGAGACATAAAATAAGTTACCAGAACTGTGTGCCGGGAGTACTTGGTACATTACATGCAGCATTATGTGGCATATTCTTGATGTGATGAGAAATCTCATTGCTGTGTGGGACGCTGGTGCTCCGGAAGTCATCCACATTTGCTTTGGAATCAGTGATGGCTCAGATGAACAGAGCAGGTGCTGACTTGATTAGAAATGAGCTGCAAACAAAAACAAACTGCCCATATGCAAATGTTGATGGCTTTGTAGATACCGATGATGTTAGCTCCCTCGGTTAATGATGAATTTCAAATAAGAACAGGGACCCTCGATACAGGTCTGTGAGCACAAAAGAGCAGGGGGAAAAGGGGCCCGAGTTCAAGCGTTTCAGGAGAAAAGCATAAACGGCTATCAGTGATCAGTGATAAGCTGCAATCATGGGAATGATTTCGTTTCCAAAGCAGCCGAGTCACTAAATTTGTTAACTGCAATAGAACACATCAGGATTTAATTTAAATTTCTGTAAAGCAGAGAGTAAAACCAGGGTCTTTCAGACGTGACTAGAGTTCTGTGTGATATATGTGCCTTACTTAATTCAGCAGACCTTTCTGGAGCACCTCTGAGAAATCTGTAGTTTAGCCTCTGTCTTACTAGCTTTGTAATCTTTGGCAAGGCCAGTGGATTCTTTATCTATATACTTAGGAGA